TGACATAAAAATAAAAATACCACCACCACTAATAATAATAATAATAACAATAAAACATAAGCATTAACTATCAAAAAATTAGAACTTTAAGGTTAACTGATAACCTCCTTTGACTGAATAACTTATCTGAATTACACCTATTAATGATTTACATCAAACAGACCTGGATAAAAGCTGACCAAAGTGTGAAAATGGGAACAGATCCTTTTGTGAGACACACCAGGAAAGCTTCTTAAACACCAAAACCACGCCATTCCACACAAAACCACCCGAAAACACTTATTCCTCGAAGCCCCGAGAATATCGCACATTCGGGGAAACGGCAGCCTTGCCTCTCTGTGAAGCAGTGGACTAAAACCCACACAAACACACACACACAAACACTCACACTCACTCAATATACATATTCACACCCTCTATGACACATCACCCTCTAACCATATTCTATCCTAAAGGTTAACTATTAGCTAACACTCCCCTAATCATTACTAGACCAATCGTCTGGGGCTCTCCCTTACTCACCCTTCTTTGCCTCTGACATTCGGTTATGTGTGACAAAACATCAATTTGTCACTGGGTTAATTACAGGCTTGCTGACTCTCTTGCTGAGTCTTGGTTTGAATTTTAATTATTATAACCGATATCATCATTGCTGCTATCTGCATATACCTCTATCTCTATTCCTTTTATTGCATGACAGACACACGGTAAAGCACATTTACTTCCTTATTACTCAATACTTTATTCATGCAACATTTTCACGCCAATCACTCATCGGGTCTGATTCATTTCAAGATCCATTCCTTAAATAAGTGAGAGGCCTTATAATGGTAGAAGCAAGCAATGGATTTCCCAAATCAATTTCTACATTTTGAAACTGTATCACATTCAGACAGTTCAAATAGATACCTTCACAAAAATATTGTGATAAATTAATATATGAAGAAAAAAAGATGAGAAAACAGAAAGAAAGAAAGAAAGAAAGGGAGAGAAGGAAATACCACTAATTTTACTATTTTCACCTTCATTACTTCTATCATTATTCTCCTTAGTGTAAATCATTACAGTTTAAACCATCAACTTTACAAGCATCATAATCATGAATATTTACAATAACATATCACCATAACATCCTTTTTTTTTAATGATTAGAATTATACTTGAACATGCAACACTCATTTTGATTCATTAATTCATTAACAGCAGTCTTGATATTAGATTATAGATACAAAAATAATAAAAATGAATAAATAGATAAAAAAAACACATTAGTTGTCCTTATCATTCCCTTATTATTATTATTATTATTATTATTATTATTATTATTATTATTATTATCATTATTAATTAATTATTTTTATTTTATTATTTTATTTATTTATTTTTTTTTAATTTATTTTTTTTACTTGTATCTGAATTATTACTATCCTGCCAATAGTTACCTAAAAATTCTCATCCCTTTTCTGTCACCAATATTATTACAATTAATAAAATTACCTAAAAGCTTGAATACTACAAGTAGCCTAATATATAAAAAAAATGATAGTACTTAAGACATTCATGAAAGCAATATTCTTTTATTTTTTTTATTGTACCCTTATTTTCATTTTTATATATACCAATATAAAAACAAAAAGTCCCATAACTGCTATCACTAATAATAAAGACAAATAGTATAAAAACAACAAGAAAAGTATATATAATAATAATCAATTAGAACAAAGTAATACTATTACTAATAACAATATTCACAATACAATAATAGTCTAACAATAATGAATAATAACAAAACAAAAAAATACATAAAACTAAAAATAATGATACTGATGTTACAAGTGATGATGAAAATAATAATACTAACAATTAAATATGATATTGATGATCCTAATAAGGATAAAGTGACAACTTGAGAGAGAGAGAGAGAGAGAGAGAGAGAGAGAGAGAGAGAGAGAGAGAGAGAGAGAGAGAGAGAGAGAGAGAGAGAGAGAGAGAGAGAGAGAGAGAGAGAGAGAGAGAGAGAGAGGGGGGGGGGGGTAGGTGGGGGGAGGTAAATAATATCGAGAATATAAATGACATGGGTTTCATTCCCTAAAATTCAAAGTAAACCTGTGGGGCTGACAGGGGTAATGTACTTCTCAGGAACTTCTAAAACTTAGGAAGCATTACTTTTCAAGGATCAATAAAGAAATCAGCCTGTATTATAGATATTCCAAATAAGTGAAGCTGAAGAACACACAAGCAATAGTTCCTGGCACTGTTATATGACAAAAGAAAAATGCAAAATAATTTAAATGTCTTCTGAAAACCTTTTGGGATTTAATGGACAAATGTATCTACATCAATGTCTGCATTTTGGAATACTTTCAATAATTCTTCATTCATATTACTTTTCCTGGTGCATAGGACATAATAAAACTTTATGATAGATATTATATTAGAGGTTATGGAAATCTGTGCATCAAGGATTAAAAAATACTATAAAATGTATATGAAAAATGTAAATATAGTAGAAAATGTTCTGACAAGTAATATTATGCAATGAAAACTTTAACATAAAAAAAAGAATAGGAAAAATAAGCCCACCACCATATTAGGTAAAAATATGAACATTACCTTCTTTGATAATCTGATCATATATGTGATATAATTTTTCCACCGATGACGATTTTTCAATGCCCTTCCGAGGCTTGTCTTTCCTGGAACGCAACGCATTTCCATCTGGATTGTCGCTCCAGAAACTCTCCCAGCTGCTGTCCATATCCTTCGCCTGATTTTCCCTATCTATTTCTGAGTCACCTTTTTTCTCTCCGTGTGCTTCCCCTGAGGATCTTTTAAAGTGCGAAAGAGACTGTGTTTTTGTGAAGGAATAACCCTTGGAGGCGTTGCTTTCGATATCACAAGCTGCGCTCGTTGGTGTGCTGAGTCTACTCTTAGCTGCTGGATGCATTTGGGGCGACTTGGTGGGTGAGCTAGTTGTCTGCCCCACAGGAGCATGGGGAGGCCTATTGGGGGACTTTGACATGGACCTTCTCCTATACCAGTTGAAGGGAGAGTGGGGTTTTGGCACCTTAAGGGAATCAGTTTTTGTTTCAGTGGGGCTAGTTGGTCCTGGGAAACTGTTCTGTGCAAGTGGAGATTCAATGCTGCCTCTACGTGAAGACTTTGAAAGGGAGCTTCTTCTGTACAAGTAGTCAAAGGGGAAATGAAAATTATGGGGTGATTTTGGCCGGGCATTTTGGTCAATTGGTAAACTCACGGATGGTCTTTTGGCCTGTATGCTGGGGCTGGTGGCTGGGGGAGAAGATGCCTGCTCCTTGTCAGGTGAAGTTGAGACTTGGTTATACTCCTGTCCTAAAGTCCGTACTCCAGATGTCCAGGTTTTAGGCTTTTCCTCTTCACTCTCACTCTCACTTTCACTACCAGTATAACTACTACTGCTCCCTGTGCTACTGCCACTCTCACTACTGGCTATACTTGGAATGCTTTCTGTAGCACTGCCCCTTCGATTTGTTGGGGATGTGCCCACAGGACTACCTCTTGACTGGGGCTGGTTTGGTACTGGGATAAATAGGTTTTTTGGGCGTGGTCGCTGTCGTGCTTGGGGTCTGTAGACTGGCCATGGTTCAGGTGTGCGGGATCTCTCTCTCTCCTGCCTCTGCACTCGCGGAGGGTCAGGCGTCTTTGAGCGGAATGTTTTTTCTTTTTCTTTCTGTGCCTGTCCTTGGGCATGAGCATTTGCAAGTTCAAGGGTTATGTCTCCCTGGTCACTACATATTGAATTATTGCGGCTTCTCCTTTTGGCCTGATGCTGGTGGTAGTAATCGAGGGGGTGCAAAAAATGGTGTAGCAGTGCCCCCCCCTTCCCCTTCAGAGGACTTTCCTTTGAACCGATGGAATGGAAGTCCACACCAGGGCTGCTAGCACCAGATTTGTTGCCGCTAGCACCGTGTTCCATAGCACCCGGCACGTCCATAGGGCTAGACTCATGATTTCTCGGTGACATGTCTGGAGTAAAGATAATGGGTGGAAGAGGAAATCCTGTAAAAACAGGACTACTTGCACCATCCATGATGTCCCTGTGGTTATAAATGAACACACAAAGAGAAGTACTTTCACACTTCCAAACACTATACCCAAGACTCCTACTTGTATGAGCGTTAAGAGAGTAATCTCCATTGGTCTAGCGAAGGTAAAGCTCTTCCTTGTCACTGCCACCAGAGACTTTGCAAGGAAGTGTTGCAGCTGCAGCAGCAACAGCACGCCCGTTCCTCGTGTCTCCAACACCAGGGGAACTACCCACTCGCACAGTTCCAAGAATTGCACACAAACACTTTTATTTCCGCGCTTTCCTCGCGTTCGATTTACTCTTCCGTCTCTCCACAGGTACCTTAACTCAGCACCAGGCAGGGCGAGTGGGGGGGGCAACTCGCAAAGCCTTTCTTTTCGCCCCAAAATATTCCGAGAGAAACCCCGGGTGCCACGAGCGGAAAGGAGTGAGGCCAAGACAGGGTCCTGCCCCAGACTAGAGAGAGAGGAGGAGGAGGAGCGACTTCAGCTCGCACAACAGGGCTCAAAAATGCACCGCCTGGCAACAACGCCTGATGCTGCTGACCACTAGGACAATCTTTCCTCTCTCGCACTCTTTACTACAGAGGCTCTTGGGTCCCGCCTGGTGGCTGGTCACTCGAGGGCTGGAAGTCAGACGTCCGAGGAAGCGCGCTGTTCACGACCGTGTCACGAGCAGAAATGTGTGAACGTGAGGGGGACGTGAGGAACGTCAGGTCACAATACAATAAGTGCTCGGTCGTTGCCCACGCGTAAATACCTAATACCGCCCAGGAAGACCTCTCCTTCCGACGCCCGTTTTAGAGGGACAGCCTTCCCCGTCCACCTACATTTTAACAATGGGGTACAAAGCCTAACAATAAAGTCCGAACAGACAATCATATCTAATCGATCACCTTCGATAAAAAAATAAAACAAGTTGCACGATGTGGCAAGACTCGACTAATCCAGCTGCGTCAACGAGTTGGTAAGTCAGTCTCTCTCTCTCTCTCTCTCTCTCTCTCTCTCTCTCTCTCTCTCTCTCTCTCTCTCTCTCTCTTTCTCTCTTTCTCTCTCTCTTTCTCTCTCTCTCTCTTTCTCTCTCTCTCTTTCTCTCTCTCTCTCTTTCTCTCTCTCTCTTTCTCTCTCTCTCTCTTTCTCTCTCTCTCTCTTTCTCTCTCTCTCTCTTTCTCTCTCTCTCTCTTTCTCTCTCTCTCTCTTTCTCTCTCTCTCTCTCTCTTTCTCTGTCTGTCTCTGTCTCTGTCTGTCTCTGTCTCTGTCTGTCTCTGTCTCTGTCTGTCTCTGTCTCTGTCTGTCTCTGTCTGTCTCTGTCTCTGTCTGTCTCTCTCTCTCTCTCTGTGTGTCTCTCTGTCTCTCTGTCTCTCTCTCTCTCTCTCTCTCTCTCTCTCTCTCTCTCTCTCTCTCTCTCTCTCTCTCTCTCTCTCTCTCTCTCTCTCTCTCTCTCTCTCTGTGTGTGTGTGTGTGTATGTGCATGTATATGTGCATGTATGTGTACATGTATATGTATATGTATGTGTGTATGTATCTGTGTATGTCTGTCTCCCGTACTGACGACACGTAGTACAGGCGCATTGTGTCAGAAAACCACAAGATACCTATACAGTTGCCATTCGCTACAGTCCCCTTATCAGCTTCCTTATCGAAAATAAACCACGTGGTGTCGACCGAAATGACAATTCAACGAAAACATCGACCGAACACCTGGCAAAAATACAAGGGAATCCACCCCAATCCCACATTTAAACCACAAACAAATACAAAAACAAATTTATCTTTTAAACATCGAAAAATTTTATCATCCTCATTTAATATATACACGCTACTGAACATCAGGATTTAACCGGCCGACCAGCCGTACTGCGCAGAATTCACCAGAAGGGAACTTAACATAATTCCTCTGCCCGAAGTCAAGGAATCGCTGGCGTGGCATTTACAGCTCCGGGACCTTGTGGAGCTAGCGGTTGTGGGGAGTCTGGTCTCCCTTGCGAGCCCGCACGCCTTGATCTTTTCCCTCCCAACGTTGGCACCTTCAGTCAGCAGGCGCTATGCGTCCATCCTCGTAAGTGAATGTGGAACGTGAATGCATGCATACACACATGCACATACATACATACACGCGCACGCGCACGCGCACGCGCACGCACACGCACGCACGCAACCACACACACACAGTCTCTCTCTCTCTCTCTCTCGCTCAACAAAATAAACACAAAGAGCTAATTTCAGTCGATAAGTTTACCCTCAACTTAAACGCTGCGAATCTGATCCGCACACCTAATCACGTTTAGGTAAACAAGATGTAAAATCTACCGGCTGCTGAGTGATTATGATATATATATCGCATTAAACTTTAAAATATTCGCGTGAAAAGCACCAGGAATGTGATGCACGCGAACTCGCTTTCGTGTGAGATTCCACCACATTCGGAGATATCAATATACCTTGAATAAACACAAGCATTGTGTCGAGTAATTGAGAATTTGAAGTGATATCAAAGATAAGGCCGCCAGATTTCCTAAAGCTGCTCCGCCTCCAAGATAAACTCGCTATCCTATTTCATTTTTATAAATATATCCTATTGGGCCAATAAAAATATCAATATATATTATATCTATTTATCTATCTATCTATCTATCTATATGTATGTATGCATATATATGTATATATGTCTGTATGTCTGTATGTATGTATGTATGTATGTGTGTATGTATGTATGTATATATGTATCTGTATACGTCTCTCTCTCTCTCTCTCTCTCTCTCTCTCTCTCTCTCTCTCTCTCTCTCTCTCTCTCTCTCTCTCTCACTCTCTCTCTCTCTCTCTCTCTCTCTCTCTCTATATATATATATATATATATATATATATATATATATGTATATATATATATATATATGTATATATATATATATATATATATATATATATATATATATGAACTACAAATATCTTTTTTATTAAGATGGCTTAGAAAATACCGTTTCTGAAATATTCACCGTGTTCTCCCTACAGCCACAAGAACAAGGAAGTGAATATCATGTGAATAAATACATTTCTTTCTTTATTTATTTTATACTGAATTTCAATCTGCATCTCAACATGACTTTCACACTCTTTACTCTAAGTGCCGTTCACTTTCTTCTCCTATTTATTTATTTGTTGATAAATAGCAATGCTAGTTACGAACAAACAGATAAACACTACTGAATTAGTTCGCTAGAAAAATGGCAAGATGGTTCACATCTCATTTGCATATATACAAAAAAAGTTAATTTATGGCACCGCAGCGGTTTCAACAACAAAATGATAAAGCTAAATAAAAAAACATTGACTGGTACTAAACATATGGTTCAACAGAAATATTTGATAAAATGTTAAAATATACTTTTCCTCTCCTCTATTTGTCTTCGTTTGGTACCTGTCTCTGCCTCTTTATCTATCTATCTAATGCATACAAATATATACACGCACAAACACTCAAACACACATTAATGCACGTACACAAATCCGCTCAAACACACATAAACGCACGCACGCCCAAACGCTCAAACACATAAATGCACGCACGGCCAAACGCTCAAACACACATAAACGTACATACACACATACACCCAGACACACATAAACGCACGTACGCACATACACCCAGACACAAATAAACGCACGTCCGCACATACACCCAAAACGCACGTACGCACATACACCCAGAAACACATTAACGCACGTACGCACATACACCCAGACACACATAAACGCACGTGCGCACATCCGCCCAAACAACACATAAAAGCATGCACGCCCACAAATAAACACACACGCACACCGCACGCCAACATGCAAACAGAGGGCCAAGCCACATGGACAACTTCTCAAATCAAGCTGTTTTTGTCTGTCCTTTTAGCAAGTCAGGCGCCCGCACTTTTACACAAACAACAGCCAAGCCTCCGACATACACAGTATTGAGAGAGAAACAAAAGTACTCTTTATCTCTAACACAGGCGGGCGAGAGAAAGGGAGGGAGAGAGGGAGAGAGAGTGGGAGAGAGGGAGAGAGGGAGAGAGAGAGAGAGAGAGAGAGAGAGAGAGAGAGGGAGAGAGGGAGAGAGGGAGAGAGGGAGAGAGGGAAAGAGAGAGAAGAGCTTAATCCTGACCTGCGTAGTTCACTTATATAAACGGCACCCTTGCTCCCAAAATTATGTATCTATCACAAGACAAAACGCAAAAAAAAAAAAAAAAAAAAAAAAAAAAAAAAAAAAAAAAAAAAAAAAAAAAAAAAAAAAAAATCTTCCCGCCATTGGCTTCCCTGTGACGATAACACCGAAACCCGACTTTCCCTGTGGAAATAACGTTATCTCTCGTGGCCTTGACCAAAATTCCATGACGAAAGGTTCACTAGCCTATCACCGCGATAAAACGTTGATAACTAGAACATTAATAAAAAAACAAGATATGAATAATAACATATGAATAATAATATGATGGTTCTAAAGCTTAAAATACGAAAATAATCTCACTATTAACATTGACGACATTTCAAGTGATATTCCAAATATTCATTCCAGATGAGAAAAATCAAATAATGCAAAGAATCGACATGATCTGTCCACATACACATTTACTATACATATAGACATGCATGCATATATATATATATATATATATATATATATATATATATATATATATATATATATATATATATATATATATGTGTGTGTGTGTGTATATGTGTGTGTGTGTTTACATATATGCATACATATATACATACATATACATAATATATATATTTATTATACATCATATATATATATATATATATATATATATATATATATATATATATATATATATATATATATATATATATATATATATATATATTTATATATATTTATTTATTTTGATGATAAAGAATGACATAGTTTCGTACAAATAGCAGAATTAATCGTAGCAAAAAAGAAAGAAAGAAAATAACAAGAAAGGATAATTATAAATAACAACACAAACACTATGTCGACGATGATAACAATAACACCACGAGCTTCATGGTCACCACAGCCATCACTTCAGAAGCATACATATCAACTCCCCCCCCCACCCCCCTGCACGATATCTGTATCAAGTTTTTTTTCACTGTCGATGAATCACAGATAAAGCGTCCGAACAACGCAATAAACAATAAAAAAACAACAGCATTATCAGAAATCGATGACGTCTCATTTAAATACTAAGACCTGTCTGTCACTTTTTCTTTTTCACCTTTTTTTACTCTTCATTCTCTCTCTTTTATCATTTTCCTCTCATTCTCTCATCCTCTCTTTTATCATTTTCCTCTCATTTTCTCATCCTCTCTTTTATCATTTTCCTCTCATTTTCTCATCCTCTCTTTTATCATTTTCCTTTCATTTTCTTACCCATCGCTTTGAGCATTTTCCCGTTTTCTCAAGACTGAAAAAGGAAACGATTCCTCATTTCCATTGACTTCATCAGTTTCCCTTCACGAGGCTTATATTTCTCCTACTTGTCCATTGCTAATGGGGATTTCTTTGTGTTTCCTTGTGTTTTGTTCTCGATATTTCCCCGTCACCTTTTTGCTACTCTACTGTCTGTCTGTCTGTCTCTCTTTCTCTTTCTCTCTCCCCCCCCCCCCCTCTCTCTCTCTCTCTCTCTCTCTCTCTCTCTCTCTCTCTCTCTCTCTCTCTCTCTCTCTCTCTCCCTCTCCTTCTCCCTCTCCCCCTCTCTCTCTCTCTTCGTTTCCTTCCTCCGTCCGTCTGCCTGCCTTTCTCACTTACACTTAATCCCTTTCTCTTAAAAAAAGGTCATTTGCATAATTAAAAATCCTGGAAAACCCCACTCCTTGTCCCATTTCTTTCCCTGAGATTAAGGAAATTAACAAATTAAATTCACTCCTCCTTTATGCCCCCCCCCCGCCGCGGCAT